CTATAAAAAGTATATGACGTGTTCTATTGTTAAACAGGCATTTTAATGTTCATTTATTATATCAAATCGTGACTGAGGCGTGCCATTAAACACTATTTTCATATGCTTCTATTGAGTTTAAAAGACAGGCTCTTCAGCTTACAATTCAAAGTTTTCCTCTACTGATCATTAAAACAATGCTGTGAAAAAACACTTCATTAACTTAATTTTCTTTTTGATCTTGTATAAACAGCATTTGCGATCGACTTTACCTTTAAGAGATCGATTTCTTTAACGCAGTCCTGACGAGCCTTTGCATCCATCATCTCAAAGATCTGCAGTGACAAAGATGGGAATGATTTAACTTTAAGAGACATTACAAGTAAAATATAAACTCAGAAGAAATAAATAAAACACTCTAGTAGGGATCATGCCATTATAATATTTCCTATTTGAGACAATACTAAAAAAAAAACCTCAGTGCTGGAGGAAAACTCCATTGTTTTTAAAAGCATAAAAATCATTTTAAGTGCTTACAATTGTAGACCCTGGTGAAAATTACATCTATTCATTTTCTCTGGACCTCCTTGGTCCAGTTTACAGTCCATCTCATGGCCAAATAGAGACACACATAAAAGACAACCATGCTTGAGCACCTTCATACATAAAGGTAAATTTAGAACCACCAGGTAACTTAACAAGCATTTTATTGGCCTGAGTGAAGAAATCAGTACCCAAAGAAGATAGATACATGCATTGGAAGAACGTGGACCTCCACACTCAAACACCACCACAGAGATTTAAACTGTCACCTCCTCCCTGCATCATTGTGCAATCAGTTGAAAAATAATAAAATGGCCGCTTGTCCTGAGCCTGGTTCTGCTGGAGGTTTCTTCTTTTAAAAGGGAGTTTTTCCTTTCCACTGTTGCCACTGTGCTTGCTCAGGATGGGAGACTGCAACGAAGCCAAGATTCAACTGGTCTGCTGCTTCCTTAGAGAACTTTACTAATTGGCTTCTATGTGAATGTTTCTGTAAAGTCCCTGAGACAACTTTGTTGTGA